CCCCGCACCGCCGACAAAAAGCTGTACTTAAACTGCATTGTTCTCCCAGTGGGCGTGAGCAGCACGGCCTGCAGCCCCTCCTGGGACCCCCTCCGCTTCCCTGACGCCTACCAGCGCTCCTCGGACCGATGCTCCCGGGAGGGACGCTTCCAGCGCCGATGTTCCTGGGACAGATGCTCTGGGGACGGGTGCTCCCAGGACAGATGCTCCCACCGGAGGAGGGAAGAGAAGAGATGCCGTCAGCTGTGCTTGATTCCTGCCCCAGAGCCTCCCTACGCTGCCCCGCCGGGCGTGCTCCCCCTGCATCTGCAGCCGGCATCCCCCGCGGCCACCGGGCAATGTGACAGCTCCCACCCGCTGTCCCCTGCCTGCGAGGGGAGACCACACGGGCTCCAGTCCAACACGGCCCCACCGCCCCTGCCCTGACCTCAACCCAGCATCACAGGGGATGTGAGCGTGCAGGCAGGGCTGCCTGCAGCAGGCAGACTCCGTGCATCTCGCCTTGCCAGTCCATCACTACATTGACGGCGTGGGGCCGGTCTCACCGCAGGGCAGCACTGTGGGGTGCTGGGGAGGCAGCAGCAGAGCTGCTGTGGGCCCTGACTCACCAGCATGGGGCTGGTCTGCAGCAGCACCGAGCCAAGCATGGGCTCCAGGTACCAGGAGCAGCTGCAGCCCGTAACCCACCACCACCCAAGCACATGCAGTGTGGCGTAAGAAAGGCCATAAATCCCAGAGCCAGGAGCAGCTGGAACACAGAGCAACTTTTACTGTAAAGGCAGTGGCACATTATTTAAGGCTCCTCTTAAAACCTAATGTTAGGTTTAATAAGGGAGATAAAAGCATGTCAGCAGCTCTCCCTCTCAGGGTCGGTGCTCCCAGCAGTGCCGGCGGGATGGTCCCAGGGCTGGGCAGCACAGCGTGTCGTGTCCGTTTTCCCCTGCTTCCGTCCCCCACCCCACCCCCCCAGCACCAGCCCAGTAAACACCCTGCCCTGGGGACAAACTTGACCCCGACTCCTGCTGGCCCCACCAGTCCTGCCAGTGGAAAGGGCTGGCATCATATGGGCCACAGACATGGAGCCTTTGGCCCAAAACAGCCCCCAAAGGACTCTCTCTCCACGGCTGCCCCACAGCAGCAGGCTGGACCCTCTGGCTCCCTGCCTCCCCACTGCTGACCTCTCCCTGCTGGCATGCAGCATGTTTAATGCCTGCTCCCACGTGTCAGACATGTGCCATCTCATTAGTGCGTCTGTCCCCCAAAGTGAGAAGGGAGAGCACGTGAGACCTAATTGAATGTAACTAATTATTCACTCTGCAAATGCTCTGTTTAAATGGGATTGTGAGGGACAGAATTACTCATTCTGAAAAGGGGAGAGAAAGAGAGAAAGACAGAGAGAAAACAAATAGAGGCGGATGCTGGAGCTGCAGCTCCCTCTCTCCCCAGAATACCAATTACCGGATGAAGTGATTGTATAAATCTTTACCGAGTGAACGAACTGTACTAGTCACTTACTCCTGTCCTCTTATTACGAGGAAGCAATGAAAAATCATCCCACTCTCCAGTCCAGTTAAGGGCTCCCAGTCACTGTCTCAGATGCTGTCCTCAGCTGGAGATCTCGTCCCGGTGCTTTCCCAGGGTGAAGGTCCTGCAGAGACAAGGCTGAGCGCTTGGCAGGGATGCAGAGCACTCCTGCACCCCTGGCCCCAGGGAAGAGCAGCAACTGCATGTGTCCCAGGGAGCTGCGGGGCTCCTGCCCCAGCAGGAG